TCGACCTCCAGCGCAGCAAGGTCGACCACGCTCCAGCGCAGCAGTGCTCGCACCGCTCCAGCGTTGCAGAGTAGCGGTGCGCCAACGTTGCAAGTCCATGATGTGCCAACGCTGCAGCAAGTCGGCTGCACAGCGTTGCACCCGCAGGACAACGGTGCATCTGATTCGCAGGTGCGTGCAGCTGGTTGGTGCACTCTTCCTTGTCACGTGCACAGCGCAGATGCCTGGCAGACTCCACGCCAGCAACTGCGCCCACCAGCCACGTCGATCTCGGGATACCACCCCCGAGGTCGGCCTCACAGACTCCACCCCGGCGACACTCGCGCACGTCGCCCGGGTATCCCGGTCGACCGGGCAACCGCGCCTTCCGTAGCCGGCCACACACATGCCCGGCGTCCCCAGTCCGGCGTCCAGACGCCCAGGATGCCATGCAGGCGCCCACGACGTCGACCAGGCGCCGGGTAGTCGTGCCGTCGCCCAGGTCGGTGTCCAGCTTCCCAGGACGCCAACCAGGCATCTAGGACGGCGTCCTCCTGCTCGGCGCCCTCCAGCCAGGCGCCCTCCAGCTCGGCGCCCTTGCAGTGGCCCCCGTGCCCACTGCTGCAGGTCGGCTGCAACCCCCACACATCCGACCACGAGGTCGGCTCCACCCAAGCGAGGACGGGGCCAGACAACACTCCCGTTGACAAACCATGGTGACGCTCGCACAGCTGCCGGCCTACAAACACAATAGGTAAGTGACCACTACGTCGACTAGACTGAAAAGGTAAGTCGTGTGCCGTCCACGCTCACCGCACCATGCGGAGATAACTGAATCAACGGGAGCTAGACTAAGGGCTAGGCACGGGTGCTCGTGTGATCTCTGCGTTCGTTCACTTAGTCTTTCACTCGTGCTTGCACTACTTGCTGGTTCACGGGGAATTTGGCAAGAGTTCCACTAGCAAAAGTTCACAACAATGGTGCAACAACATTGGCATCACAGACTACATTAGAGCTAGCTAGGCTGCTGGTCGACCTCCAGCACAGCATGGTCGAGCTCGCTCCAGCGCAGCAGCGCTCGCACCTGCAGAACAACGGTGCACCTGCTTCGCAGGTGCGTGCAGCTGGTTGGTGCTCCCCACCTTGTCACGAGCACAGCGCAGACGCCTAGCAGACTCCACGCCAGCAACTGCGCCCACCAGCCACGTCGACCTCAGGATACCACCCCCGAGGTCGGCCTCGCAGAAGTCACCCTGACGACCTTCGCACACGTCGCCCGGGTATCCCGGTCCACCGGGCAACCACGCCTGGTCGACCAGCTCAGTCCGTAGCCGACCACACATGCCCGGCGTCCCCAGTCCGGCGTCCAGGCGCCCAGGACGCCGTCCGGACACCCAGGTCGGCGTCCAGGCGCCAATGACACCGTGCAGACGCCCAGGACGGCGTCCTCCTGCTCGGCGCCCTCCAGCCAGGCGCCCTCCAGCTCGGCACCCTTGCAGTGGCCCCCGTGCCCACTGCTGTAGGTCGGCTGCATCCACCGCACACCCGACCACGAGGTCGGCTCCGCCCAAGCGAGGACGGGGCCTAACAACGTTCCCGTTGACACAGACGACAATCGCCCCAGGTGGTGGGACGGCGACGACATAGGTGCCTATGGACCTATAAGATGCCATCTCTGCCTTCTCAACTGATATCGAGTACGAAGCCCAGGGTCCTGAGATCGCCTCGGCGTGAGTGCGAGGGATCTGGATGTCAAGGGCATCTGGATCCCCCTCAGGGGCAAGAAGCATGGCGCATAGATGAGGAACAGCGGCCGCAAGGAAACCAAGCTCGAACTGCCTGCAAGCTCGGATCCGGCCTGACTGTGCGGAGCGACAACCACTGGCGTGAGGTCGACCGCTGCCTGGTCTACCTTACTGACACCCGTGACGCCGCTCTGGAGTTCGGTTACGGACCGGAGTCGCTGTGTCTGGTCGGCTATGCATACGCCGACGACGCCGACGATAAGCAGAATCAGGCGTGCACGGGTGGCTACGTGTTCGTCTTCGGAGGGGCCGCAATTTCTTGGTTGAGCCAGCGCATCAAGTGCGCGACGCTCTCGTCGACCGAGTCAGAGTACGTCGCGGCCACTAAAGCCTGCAAGGAGGCACGCCGAATTCGTTTCCTCCTCGCCGAGTTCCAGCTGCTCGACTATAGAAACGTGGACAACCAGTCAGACATCACGGTCGCAGATGGCTTGGGGCTTAAGGGCAACCTCAAACACATGGAGCGACGTTACGCCTGGCTGCAGCAGATGGTAAAGCGCGAGAAGATTTCTCTGGAGTACATCCCGACTACCGAGCAGCCGACGCATTTCCTCACGAAGGCTCTGCATTTTCCGGCATTCAACCGGTTCTCCATCGCAGTCGACCAGATTCGCCTTGCCGAAGTCGGCGACGACGACGTGCAGGAATAGGCGCCATGTCCGTCAACATGGCTGGTGCGGTGGGCGGCGTGCTGGGTTTGCATGCCGTCGAAGTATCCCCCTTGTACTCTATTACGTAGGCTCTACGGATGGACCTTCGTGTGTGCGCCCAAGCGTGAGTTGGGCAGGGGAGTGTCGAGGAGAAAAGGCCCCGCTCTCGCTTGGGCAAAGTCGATCATGCTTTCCGGAGCACAACGGTGTTCGTTTCGTGGCCGTCGGCGACTTCGGGGACTTTTACCGTATCTCTGTGCGACAGTCTCTGGGACGCTGATATGTGTGCGACGAGTCGTCTGTCGACGAGATTACTTCGTCGAGGTCGAAATGTTTTCGCTGGTCTGCGAAAGTTCTCGTCGACGAGGCGCTGGTCGACGAGATTACATCGGCGTCGAAGACGAGCTTCGTGCGTCGACGGAATTGGCAGAATTGCCGTTTCGACGGATCGGTGGTCGACTGAATTGTGCTCGACGAGCGCATCGTCGAGCGGGGCGTTTCTGGCTAGGGCTGTGACCATATGGACCATGTATCATAAAAAAAACATAAATATGAGATATGATAGTGGTGAGGAGTTTAGAGGTGACATCAGAGGTGAGGAGGGCGAGCTGTTCGCACCATTGTAGTACACACTCTTATGATTTCACCTAAGATGCAACGCTTCCATTTCATACGGTACCTGCCTCCAGCATGGGTCGTCGCTAGCAGATCTTTTTTGTCTGTTTGGCTGATAATCACACAGGTATTGTTTGGATTAATCTGATTTTCCTGTTAGCATCAGACAATTTGTTTTTTTGCCCGGGGGGCCCGTCTGATGAATCAGACATCCCTGAGACCCTAGGGAGAGCCCAGCATGCCATGCCACTCTTGTCCCACTCTCCCATGGCAACATTTCCTTTACCTGTGTTTCCTGTTGCTGCTTTCACACCAGATGTTGCTGTGGAAGGTTGTAAGCGTAGCGCTGATGGGCAAGGAGGAGCATGAGAGGGAGTAAGGTGGACTGGATGGGCATTGCAAAAGCATACGGTACATGACTCTTGCTCTTAACCATGCAAGCACAATGTAGTTTTCTACAAGCATTGCCGTTTATGCATAACTTAGAAAGTCGTATATCCCATCATACACACAGTACCCTTCTCTATATTCCCACTCTGCATACGGTACAGCCTGCACCCAGAGACAGGAAGGCATAGCTCATGCACCCTCCCCTTGTGCACCTGGGCTCTTGACCAAACAGCCTTGCACCTGCTTCTGTCCAACAGGACCATTCTCCAACTCTCTGCACCATGCAAGCCGAGCCATACACAACCACCATTCCATACCTCTCCTCTCCTCAGTCTCCCCCCTAGACAGCCATTGTCAACTCCTCCATGCCACGTTACCAGCCTATCCGCAAGCGCACATCATCATTCACGAGCAAAACGTTTTCTGGCGTATAGAGAGATGTCAGCTTGGTCAAGGAAGTCAGCTGTTTTAGCCCGTCATCCGTGACTGACAAATGATCCAGATTAAGCCTCTCAAGCCCTGTCAGCCTCCCCACACACATCATGCCAGCATTTGTCACACCCTTGCAGTTGGAAATACTTAGCACCTTGAGAGAAGACAGACCCATGAGCTGCTGCAGACCAGTATCTGTGACTGCCGTCTCATGTATCCAAAGTTCCTCAAGCCCTGTCAACCTTCGCACATGCACCATGCCAGCAGCACTGACACCTTTGCAATGGGAAAGGTCCAACTCTTTGAGAGAGGAAAGAGCTGTCAAGTGCAGCAGACCAGTGTCTGTGACTGCCGTCTCATGTAGCCAAAGTTTCTCAAGCCTTGTCAACCTTCGCAGATGGACCACGCCAGCAGCACTCACACCATTGCAATGGGAAAGGCCCAACTCTTGTAGAGAGGAGAGACCAGTAAAATGCAGCAGACCAGCATCTGTCACGTTGGTCTGCCAGAGATAGAGCTGCTTGAGACGGGTCAAGGACCCAATGCCCTCCAACGCACTGTCAGAGATGTCTGTGCCGTTGAGGTTTAGCATCTCCAGCCGTGGCATGCTGTAGAGGTGCTTCATGCCCTCTGCACTGAAGCCTGAGCTATCTTCTAAGTCAATGCTCGTGAGGTGGGTCATCGTGGACACATGGCCGAGGATGGCGTCTGAGAGGCCGTGGTGATTCCTCAGGTCCAGATTGGAAACCGGTGATGCTGACCTGATTGCCTGGCAGAAATGGATGGCGAGGGAAAATAAAAACATGACAAGGGACGGGATGTTCACAGTGACAGGAAGGAACTCGAAATCAATGTACGCCGTGCGAAGCGATTCATTCAGCACTCACCTCCCACGCAGCCCTCCAATCGCCTTCACTCTGCCGGATTTGCACCTCAACATTCAATTTCAGATCTTGTGTCCTCTGCCAATCGTTACAGGAGCATGTCCCCAACTCAACTCCTGCACCTCCCTACTTCTCTCCTCCTCCCATGCAAACTCCGCTGTCATTTCGTGCCTTCTCTTTCTACTCTCCCCTCTCGTCCCCCATACATACAATGCCCTACTACCTTCAGCCCATTGCTCCTTGTGTTATGCCAACTCAACCTTCACTGCTGCCAATTCCCCCTTCACTGCTACCAATTCCCCCTTCACTACTACCAATTCCCCCTTCACTGCTGCAAACTCCCCCTTCACTGCTGCAAACTCCCCCTTCACTGACGCAACCTCCCCCTTCATTGCTGCAAAGTCCCCCTTTACTAATGCAAATTCCCATTTCACTGCTGCCAAACCCCCTTTCACCGCTTCCAATACCCCCTTCACTGCTGCCAACTCCCTCTCCCTCTCCTTCCCCACAGCAGCAGTCACATCATTCCCCTCCCCCACAGCAGTCAACATGCGCCGCAACTCATCCACGTCCTCCTTGTGTGCAGCCAGCTCCTCTCCCACAGCTGCCAGCACCGCCCTCACAGCTGCCAGCACCGCCTCTTTGACCGCATCAACAAGTACCCCCATCACTCTCTCAGCAGCCATATCTTCAACGACTGATCCCTGCGTGAGACCACTCCCTGCAGCTTGAAGAAGGCACACAAGTAATGCGTAGGGTTGGGTCGAATGCCATGAGGGAACGCCTTTAAACGTGGGGAGAAGGGGATAGTTGATGCAGATACAACAGATAATACATTTGGGCATGCGGGACAATGCAGTGAAGTGAACAAGAGAAGACACATAGCAGAAGAAGAGGGATACTTGATGATAAGATGAGCGAAAACAGATGCAACGCATGTTTGTGTCAAGCACTGAGAGGAGAAGCTTGTTCACATGTTATGCATGCTTTTGGCATGAAATCAGCCGGCATTGGAATAAGGGAAGGCCAGTTCAAGGAGCAAGGGAGAAGATGTCAGGAGGGGCAAAAACTGCAAGCAAAGACTGCAAAAAAAACGAGAATACAAATGGTTGCAGCGACGAAACGACTGCAGAGGGTTAAGGGTGGAGACTCACTGACTCTGGCTCACGAGACGGAGACTCTGGTAGTGATGTGACGACTCACAAGCCATTACGGACACGAACAATGGGAGGGGAAAGTAGAGACAAGTGGAGACTTGGAGAACACAACGAGTGGGTTAGAGAGGTACACAGAGGGGGCTGATACACAGATGGTGTACAATCAGTAACATGATGTGAGCTGAATGAGCAAAACAGTCAGAAGAAGGCCCAGGAACAATTGTCGAAGAGGGAAAACGGTTTCTTGAAAGGCAATCGTCATGCAAGGGAAAGGTGTGGAGAGAAATTTAAGAGTAAAATAGCCGAGGCAGAGACTATGTTGCGGAAGACGCAAGACGCACGTTTAGACGCTAGACGCTTGGGCAAAAAAAATCGGTCAGCCCGAAAAAAACAAATTTCGCGCGCACGAAATTTAATTTCGCGATTTCGAAGCGAAATTCAATGTTGCGACATTTGCACCCCTTCCCACCCATTTCGACCATAGAAACCAGCCCCCCAAGCAGATTTGATACCCCCTCCAACCAAAATTGAACACAAACCTCACTGCACCGCTTAGTATCTAGAAAACCCAACCTCTATGGCAAACCACCAAGAGGTTGGGGAGCACAAATCCCCCATTTGTGCTCCCCATCGTTCATTTCTACCAAATTCTCTTTCACAAACCCTTTAGGGTTTTGCTGGTTCCCTCCCGAAACCATGTCGTCTCCTAGTCCCTAGGGACATATGTGCATGTCCCCCACCCTCCCCATGCCCCACAGAAGTTTTTTTAGGCTGCCCGAACATTTGTTTTTGGCCTGCCCGGGCTTTCGTCTAATGTGCGTCTAATCTGGCCTGAAATGCGTCTAGCGTCTTAGACGCTGCGTCTAGACGCAACCGTCTAAGACGCTAGACGCGTCTTCCGCAACATAGGGCAGAGACCTCGTCTCTGTTCAAAGTATTTCGAAACATGGATTTATTAAGTGTGTAAAGAGATATTGACACCTCCACCCACCACAGCCTAACGCAAGTAGGTGAGGGCAGTAGAACTAACACTAACAGGCCAGAAAGAAATTTGGGAGGAGGAAGGGAGCAAGACAGGATGCTGCAAGAGGATGCGATGCGGAACAGCAATGGCGACACAGCGAAGAGCTCAGCTCAGGTCAGCCTGAAATCTGCAATGTATCCGTGGCAGCTCTTCTCCTTACCACAGTCATACAGGCGAGGGAAGCCAGGGCGAGCACACAACGAGGGGATTTGAAAGTATAGGGAACGGGAGAACAAAAATGGTAGGGAAAGCCATATACAATATGAGTGAGCAAAGGGCTCGGTGGCGGCTTGGCTGGCCGTTTCAGCTGCTCTGAGGCGAGAGAGAAGACTCAGGTAGTTGACTCGCCACATGGATGGAACTCAACTTGACTCTCAGAGAGCTGGTCGGCTCGAGAACATGAGGCTGATAGAGAGCCAATGCGAACGGGTGGTGCCTTTTCCTATTACACGATTTCCAAGTCAGATGTGATGCAGTCAAGACCTCCGTTTTTCAAGGTTCCTCCGTTTGCTGAGGTCGGCGGAGCCCTGAGGCATGCCACATCCCCTGGGCTGGCGGACTACACCTGGAGGAGGTCGAGATGGCGTTGCCCTGCAAGTCTCAAGCTAGGCCCCTCATAGGGTGGGGCAGTATAGGCTAGGTCTATCACGATTTGATTTGCTTTGAGGCTAGGTCACTCATTCACCAGGTCACTTATTGGCCAGGTCACTTGCTCTAGAGTCCACGGGTAAGCTAGGTCAGTCACAGCCTGTATTGAGACAGAGGGTATGATGGTCACGGGCTAGGTTAGCCACGGGCTAGGTCATTCACAAAATAAGTCAGTTGGAGGCCACGACAGTCCTGAGGCAGATTAGTCACTGGATAGGTTAATAACACGCGAGGCCACATAAAGGTTTGGTCACTCACAAGCTAGAACAATCACTCACAAGCTAGGTCACTCACTCACAAGCTAGGTCACTCACTCACAAGTTATGTCACTCACTCACAAGTTATGTCACTCACTCACAAGCTATGTCACTCACTCACAAGCTATGTCACTCACTCGCAAGCTATGTCACTCACTCACATGCTATGTCACTCACTCGCAAGCTATGTCACTCACTCACATGCTATGTCACTCACTCACAAGCTAGGTCGGGCTCAAGTTAAATCAGAAAAGAATTCAAACAGTCAGTTCCTTTGTGACTCACAGGTTAAGGCACTCAGAGTCTAGACCTTTAATGGAATCAGTCTGTCCCACGCTATGTCAAGCACAAATTAGGTCTGAAACCAGTCAGGTCAGTCATTGGCTAGGATGGTCACGGATTACGGCACTGACTGTCTAGGTCTGTGGCAGGAGCTATGTTAGTCATGGGTTGGGTCACTCACAACAACCTGGGTCAGGTTAGCTGCGACCAGCCAGTCAAGTATTGAGTCGACTCGCCAACTCGTTTGCGCCGAGTGGAGTCAGTTCAACGTTGATCAGAACGAGTCGAGTCGAGTCGGCTCAAGCTAATAATGACCAATGCATCGCCTCACTGAATTGAGTCGGTCGGCACATAACTCATCTTCATCTCGCCAAACAAACCGACTTAGCGCCTCCTTAGCGCCAGGCAATCCACCGTAGGTCGTCTTGCATTCGCTCCAAGCCAATCACTTTAGGCCTATATTGCCTCAGTGCTGCCACCGCCGAACAATCCGTATAGCTCGTAGTAATTCTTTGACAACGACCTCTAGAGTTTCAACCACATGCAAAGGACCTACATGTGCCCATCTATTGTAAATGAATAGCCACATTACCAAGTCGGGTCAACCTCGACTCGACCCAACACTTGACTCTCGACTCGAGGCTGACTCTACTCAAGTCTAACCTGACGTTGACTCGATTCGTCCCTGTGCACGTGTCTGGGCTGCCAGCCACAAGCTAGGTCAGTCACAAGCTGTGTCATCCACCAGGTATGTCAGTGAGAGGCTAGTTCAGACAAGGTCAATGACGGAAGCTGTGTCAGTCACACCCTAGGTCGGTCACAAGCTGGGGCGGGTCACAAGTCGCTCAGAGCCTGGGTGAGTGACAGATGAGTGTATGAACCCGGCGAGGGAAAGTGGCACGAACGGGCACGCATGCTACGAGGGGCAAGCGCGCGTCAAGTGGCATGCTAGTGTGGCGATGTGCACGACGTAAGCGACTCGGTATCTAACGTAAGGTGCAGATTATGCTCTGACACGACTACAAGCGCCATTATTCGTCGACTGTGAGCGTCTGGAAGGCTTGAAATGCGGAGGTCCAACCGGGAACGATAGGGAAGATTACCTCTCTTTAGGGTTTCTGTAACAAGACGAAGGCGATCTCGTCATCCTCGATATCGCCAACTCAGCTCCTTGTGATCCGAACCAGAATTCGGAACACACCCTAAGTACATTTCGGGAATTCAATGTTGGAATCCAACATTGAATTGTGCGGCTCGTAATTCTGAGTTTCCAACCGTGGGAACAACTCCAGAGAGCATACTACTAGTGCTGGACACAACGGGGCAGAGAACTCCAACAGCGCAGCAAAGTATTTGACAGCACAAGCAAGCATACTTTCCTACAGCCATGGCTACTACCAACAGAGCTTGTGGTCATCATTATCAACGACACCATGGACGACAACAAGACAAATAATCTCTGCCCATTACCTTAGTGAATTCCTAGGCTATGCTTATTGGTTCTAGGATATGACAACAAGGCTAGTATGCCTTGTACATAATCATAATGACTATGCCTTGCTGTCCTTAGCTCTAGGAAGATGATAGGCGACCTGAGCGACCTGCTCGAGGCGCCCTTGCTAGTATCCTAGTATATTAGGATGTATCTCTGAAATGTAAGCCATCATATGATCTCTTGTAAAGCTATCTTACTACTTTCATTCTGAAATTCTCCTAAGAGCACTTCCTACTACTACTACTCTGCCCAAACAGCTTAGTGGCTGTTTCAGTTTCTGAGACCTTGTGTTATGCGGCTCGAAGTGACTTGGCGGCGCGAGTAGTAAGCTGCAGTGCGTGCTGCGGTGGCGAGGCTGGCGATTTTCATGCTACGGTGGCGAGGCGAGGCGGGGAGTCGAGCGGACCAAGAAATTGGACGATGCGCGGAAGTTACGAGTGGCAACGTAAGAACGGCGCCGCCGGTGGTGGCGACTCAAAATGGGAGATGCGATTTGTTCAGATAGTTAAAGCCCAAAGCCGAAATAGCAAGCCGCTCGCTTCAAGTTTTAAAAACTTCTGGAATTTGGGCCAACGCCTTTAAAACCCAGGGTCAAGAAGGCCAAACTTGGTTCATCCTTCCTAGTGTTGGTTGGGTGTCCCAAAAACGCCTATGATTTTCCCTAGTTTCTAACACCTCGTCCAACAACTTCGACGCTCCTATTGGCTCGCGGGCGAAAACCGTCCTCACTCCCAACCAACCTTCCTAAGCTTGAATAATTTGGCCCGCGGGTTTTAAGAGTGGAAACCAGCTATCACAAGCGTTACCTTGTTACAACCGGAGTCCCAAACAGGGCAAAACTGCCTCAAACATCCTAACTTTGGTTGGGTGTGACCCACTAGATACTGACTCAAACTTCCTAACTTCGAAAACGTTCGGGAAATCTTTCGCCACGAGAAATTACTGGACGATAGCAGTGACGACTTCGTAAACAAATTTCGCG